CAGCACTATTGCAGATGGACTAAAGCCCTATATCAGTGATATGGCAGTCATTTGTACCAGAGTTAACCTTGTGTGAGAAGGGCAAACATGAAGAATTAGTCTCTAAAATGCCCCTAAAGTCTTGTGTTCAGGGAGGGGGCCTGATCAAATGAGGTAGATCCCTAGGGGTGTAGCATAGAAGGTTATGTTCTTTTCTCCAGTTCATGCTTTCTCTCTGCTTCCTGGCTGTCATACAGTGAATAGCTTTTTTCCACCAACCCATTCTGCTATGCTGTTTCTGCCTTGGAGCCAGTCAACCATTAACTGAATCAAATGAAACTTTGACCCAAAAGAAACCTCTACTCCTTTATGTTGCAGATGTTGGCTATTTTGTCCTACAGATAGAAAAGTGAACACTTCAGCATTCAGGAATCAGGTGACAGAGGTGACTAGCTAATTTAGACCGTAATGGTGGAGATTTGGAAATCCTGAGCTTTATTTGTGGGGTGGGCTTTGTGAAAACTATTATTTTGGAGCCAGGTGGTGGTGGCTATGCACCTTTTGCCAGGGCAGCCATCTGTAGTATGGTTGCACATTAATCTTGATTCCCCAATTTTCCCAAAGAGTGAGTCATTTGTTACATGCTAACAAATTCATTTTCTACTGGAACAAACTATAATAGATTTCATTGTTTATAATAAAGCCTAAAGTATATCATCTCCCAATGTGAAACACAGTCTCTATATTAATACTCTTGTTGCTTCCTTCACTGCCTTAGCACAACTTGAGTATGAGTGTGGATATGCATGGTTTGCCTTATCTATGAGATTATATGCTTTTTTAAAAGTAGGGTGTTTGTATTTTTTCATTTGGCACTGAATAACATGATTCTTATTCATTTACTCCACAAACTTTATGGAATCTTTTCTGTTGGTAGACTCTGAAAAGCACTAAGAATAAAGAATCAGTAATATGTGATGACTGCTCCCAAAATGTTTACATCTTTGTTGGAGACACAAAATAGTTTTCTTCAGAATATTTTTATTAGTACATGTTTGTAGTACATAATGATTACATTCATGATGAGGAATTAGTACATGTATATAATACATTTAATTCTTTTTATATTCCCTTCATCTCTCTGCCCTCCTGGCTGCATTTTTGCTATGCTCCTTCCCCTCCCATCCACTTCTCCATCCCCCTACTATCTTTTATTTTTATATTTATTTATATTTTACATTTTTCATATGAGAGAAACCATGCAATATTTAAGCTTGTTTGATTTATCTCACATAACATTATAGTCTTAAGGAGCATTCCTTTTCCTTTAAATGACTTGTTTATTCTTCTTTATGGCAGAGTAATACTGTATTATGTATAAATACCACATTTGCTGTATATATTCATTTCTTTATGAACATATGTAGGCAGCTTCCAAGATCTAGCTATTGTGAGTTGTGCGTTGTAAACATGGGTATGCTTGTGTCACTGAAATATTGTGTCTTTAACTATTTAGAAGATACCTAGGAGGGGAATAGTTGGGACAATTTGAATTTCTGTTTTAGTTTTCTGAGGAATCTCCATACTGATTTCTATAAAGGTTTTACTAGTTTACATTCCCACCAACCATGAAAAAAGATTCCTCCCCCCACTACAACCTTGCCAGAATTTGTTATCATTTGATTTATTGATGATAGGGGAACCTCAATATTATTATGATTTGAATTTCTCTAATGTAACAGAGATGTTGAACATATTGTTCATGTATTTATTGGCCGTTTATATTTCTTCTTCTGATAAGTGTCTGTACATTTTATTTGCCCATTTTTTGATTGGATCTTTTATTTCAGGAGTGTTTTATTGTTTTGAATTCTTTATATATTTTGGCATTAGTTCTCTATTCAAGGAATAACTGACAAAACTTTTTCCCATTCTGTAGGTTGTCTCCTCACTCAGTTGTTTCCTTTTCTGTGAGGTTTGTTTGTTTTTTAACTTGATTTGATCCCATTTGTTGATGCTTTGTGCCATCTCTTGTGCAATTGGGATTACGTTCAGAAAAGACCTTGCCTATGCCTGTGTTCAAGAGTTTTAACCTTATTTATTTTCCAGCAGAGTATTTCCATTTTTATTTTAGTTTAGTACATAGTGAGAGATATGAGTCTAGATTCAATATTTTTCATGTAGATAGCTGGTTTTCACAGCACCATTTATTTAGAGGCTATCTTTATTCAGCATGAGTTTTTGGTCCTTTTGGCAAAGATCAGGCAGCTATATGTGCTTGAAGTTGTTTTTGCAAACTCTATTCTGTTCCATTGATCCACATGTCTGTTTTGTGCCAATACCAAGCTTTTTTTTCTTTCATTAAGTTTATTGGTACATTTTAGGTATACAATTGGATGACATTTATCATTGGGACTTTGTACCATTACATGATATATCTTGATTCTTATTTTTTTCCCATTCCCCTGCCCTCCCTTGAATCCCCCCACTGCTCCCTACTTACAAAGACTTTGTTTCCAATCACTGTTAATTTCTAATGAAACATGAAGTCAGGAATTGTGATTCCTCCTACCTTGCTTTTGTTGTCCAGGATTGTTTGCTATTCTGAATTTATTCTGGTTTTATATGAATTGTATGTTGGTTTTCTTTAGTTTGTGAAGTATTGGTGTTTTGATTGGGATTACATTAAATCTATTTTTCAGTTTTGGGAGTATTCCATTTTGACTATAATGGTTCTGTCTATTCAGACGTAGGGAGTATCTTTCCTATATCTTCTTCAATTTCCTTTTTCAGAGCGCTGTAGTGTTTGTGGTAGAGGTGTTTCATTTCTTAATTAGGTTAATTCCTAAACATTTAATTTTTCTTGATGCTATTTTTAAAGAAACTGTTTCCTCTAATTTCTTTCACAGTGAATTAATTATTGGCGTACAAAAATGCTATAGATTTTCACACACTGAATGAACCTTGCTACACTACTAAATTTGATTATTAGTTCTAGGGTTCTTTTGGTGGAATTTTTTAAATAATGTCATCTGCAAAAAAAATGATAATTTGACAGCTTCCTCTTATGTACATATCCCTTTTATTTCTCTTACTTGACTGATCTGGGTAATATTTCAAGAACTATATTGAATAATAGTGGTGATAGTGGACATTCTTGTCTTATTTCTGATCTTAGAGGAAAACCTTTCAGCTTCTCCCCATTTAATATGATGTTGGCTGTTGGTTTGTCATAAATGGCTTTTATCAGCTTAAAATAAGGTCCTTCTTTACCTAGTTTTTCAGAGTTTTTACAATGAATGATGCTGAATTTTGTCAAAAGGGTTTTGTGCATTGAGACAATCATGTGGTTTCATTTGTCCTTGCTTCTGTTTATTTAATATTAAGTTATTAATTTGAATATTGGAACCATCCCTTGTCCTTGTGATGATTTCTACTTGGTCATTATATATGTGTTTTTTTTTTTGAGACAGGGTCTTCCTTTGTAGTTTAAGCTGGCCCTCAACTCAATATGTAGCCCAGGCTGGCCTCAAACTCATGGTGATCCCCCTGCCTCAGCCTCCTAAGAGCTGGGGTTACAGACATGTGCCACCATGGCTGGCCATTGTGTATGATCTTTTTGATGATTTTTTGCATTCTGTTTGCCGGTATCTTGTTAAGGATTTTTGCATCTATGTTCATTAGGGAGATTGTCTGTAGTTCTCTTTTTTGGTTGGGCTTTTTTCTGATTTTGGAATCAGGTAATGTTAGCTTCCAGTAATGACATTGGGAGTAGTGATTTCCTTTTTCAATTTTACTGAAAAGTTTGAGGGACATTGGTATTAGTTCTTATAAAATTTTTGAGTGACTCCACTGGGATTTTAACTTTTCTTAGTTGGTAGATTTTAATTACTTCTTCAATTTTATTGCCTGATATTGGATTATTTAAGGTTTTGATATCTTCTTAGTTCAGCTTTGGCAGTCCATACATATCTAGGAACCTATCCATTTCTTCTTAATTTCCATTTTATTAGAGTACAGGTTCTCAAAGTAGTTATTAATATCTTCTGGATTTCAGCAATCTGTTGTGATTTCACCTTTTTTATTTCTAATTGCATTGTTTTAGGGGTTGCTTTTCTTTTTTGGAATGGGGTTTGCCTATTTTGTTTAAGAATCAGCTCTTAGATTCCTTGATTCTTTGTATCTTTCATTAATTTCTTTTCTGATCCTTATAATTTCTTTTCTTGTATTACCTTTGGATTTGGATTTTTCTTGTTTTTCTAGGACCTTGAGGTGCCTTATTAAGTTATTCATTTGGGATCAATCTATTTTGCCCATGTGGATGATCTCAGCTATAATTTTCTGTCTTTGGACTCCTTCCATTGTGTCCCACAGGTGCCAGTATGTTGTATTGGCATTACCATTTGATTCTAGGAACTAAGTTATTCCTTAATTTTTTCTTTGATACACTGATTATTCAGGAGGGAATTGTTTAATTCCCATGTCTTTGCATAATTTTGCTGGTTTCTTTGGCCATTGGTTTCTAGTTTCATTGCCATATGATCTGATAACAGGTATGGGATAACTGCAATTTTTTCATGGCATATTTTTGGATAAAGTCCCATGTGTTTCTAAGAAGAATGTATACTCTATTGTTGAGTAGAACACTCTGTAGATATCTATTAAGTTCATCTATTTGAAGGTTTGGTTCAACTTTATTTCTTTGTTCATTTTTTTTGTCTACTTGACCTGTCTATATGTGAGAGTGGGGTATTGAGGTCCCCCATTATAATTATTTTGGTGTTTATCTGAAGTTTAAAAAGGAAAAGTTTATTTTGGCTCACATTTCAGTCCATAGTTTTCTCCAAGGCAGGGGAATGTGCCAGATGGACATAGCAGAGGAGAAACAGTTCATAGTGTGGCAGACAGGAACAAGGAAGTTCTTAAGGCAGGAGGGTTCTATATATGTACAGAGTCTGCCAAAAACATGTATACACATTTAAGGAAAATAAAAACATATAAATATTTTAATACTAAATTTATTGAGGTATTATGAGATACAAGTTATGTTTGGCCTCTACAATTACAAGAGGTGCTCAAAGTGATGGCCATTATCTTCCAGACATTTATTAGTATAACCAACTGCTGCTTGGGTAACTTTGGTCATTGAGATTGCCGAATATGTATTTTCAATTTCTTCTCTAAAGGCTGGCAGTGTAGTGAGTTTTCTTGGTATATAACATCTTCTAGGGTCCCCTATACAAGGGAAACACCATCTGTTGAAGAAACATCATACTAATTAGTGTGTATACATTTTTTGGTGGACTCTGCCAGGCCATACCCACAGAGATCCACTTCCTCCCACCAGATTTCACCTCTCAACATCACACCCAGCTATAAACTCATCAGTCCAGTATCACACATCCATGATTCAGACACCTCCATAAAGCCTCACTTATGAGCCCATGAAGTTTTGGGGGGAGATCTAGATATAAGCCATAACAATAAATATGTTTATAATTTCTGTCTCTTCTTTTGAATTGTTCCCTGAACCAAAATGTAGTCATCTTCTTTGCCTCTTCTGATTAGTTTTGGCCTGAAGGGCATTTTGTCTGAAATTAGCAGACCCTTGCTTTTATCCAGGTTCCTTTTGCATGGAATATTGTTTTCCATCCTTTGATTTTCAATCTGTATTTCTTATATACTGCATATCATTGGGCTGTTTCTATATCCATTCTGCAAATCTGTATCTTTTGACTGTGAAATTGAGACCATTCATATTGAGAGTTATTACTAAAAGTTGTTGACTTATTCTTGTCATTACATTATTTTTCTGTTGTTGATTTCCTTTTTTATTTTTGCCTTTCTGCTTGACTGCTCAACCTGCCCAGTATATTCACTCTACTAGATTTTTTTTACACTGTCATCTTCATTGTCTTTTTCTAGCATATCATTGAGATTTTTTGGTAGCATTGCTTTGGTGTTCATGAATTTCTTGAGGTTCATGCAAATATCTTATTTTGTCACCAATTTGGAAAGAAAATTTTTCAGGATACGTAAGTCAGGGTGGGAACCTATTATGTTTTAGGGCATGGAATACTTTACTCTAAGCTTTTCTGGCTTTTTTGTGGACTTGAGTTCTTTCCTAAACTGGTGATTTGTATCATTTTGTTTAGCTCAGTTAAATTTTTGTTAGTGTCTCCTGTAAGCTCCCTGATGATTTTATTTGTTACTTCCATTATCTGATGAGTTACATTTTCTGTGACCAAAGCACCTCATTGATTTGTTTTCTATTCTCCTCCGTTGTCCTTTCAAATAATTTGGCTATGTGGCTTTTGCTTTCCTAACTCTCAATGCCCAGTAAATTGACTTTGAGAGAGTTGGGAGTTTGGGGAGCCATTTTGTTGCCTTGTCTTCTCAATTGTTGTTTCTTTGTTTGGTTTTTTTTTTGTGCTTAGGTATGTGATCACTTATACTGGAAAGATCTTGTTGCTAGAATGGAGATCTCTTTAATTAGTCCATTTTTCAGTCATGCACAGTGACATGAAAATTGGAAGGAAGAAAGACAGTAAAATAAACAAATACCATTGGTTAACTATGAAGCAAGTAACTGCTTACCATCTCTATTTATCTTTATTCTATAAAGACTCTGGGTCTAAAATGCTAAAATATGGACCAGTTAAACAACTTTTAAAAAATACACCATCAAAATTCCTACCTGTAGCTGAAACTCTAGGGGTTGTATCTTTCTAACTCTGCTCTGTGTTTCAAAGAGCTGTGTGAGCCTGTTCTGATTTCAATGGGTTAATTACCAAGGAAGTATTTTTCCTCTGTGGTCTAGACATAGAAATATCTAGATATTGTTTCCCTTGAAAGGCAGCCATCCTGCTGAATGCACTTGATCACCAATTCTCATGTTTTTCTAAGGCCAGATGGGGCTAAACACAATTTCTGAAGATTTTTCTCCCTCCTTCTTTTTACTGATTAACATCTTGCTTGTTTTTGATTATGAATACTGCCAGGCAAACAGAGAGAAGGAAAAAGAAAATCCCTTAATATTTAAGGTGGGGAAACTAGAGAATGATGGATTTGCTGTTGCCAAAGGGAAACAATCCTGGGACCTAACAAATAACTGTGGAATAAAGGGTCACTCAATATTATATAATTTTGGTAGTATGACTACATAGTAGAGATTTTGAGAATAATATATTTTCTTAACTGAAACCTGAAGGGGTGTGTGTGTGTGTGTTTATAGATAAAAAATAAGACAGACAAAATTTAACCTTTCGAGAAAACCTAATCCTAATATTCCTAACTATCTCTAGGACCTTGGGTAAAGTCACTTAATGTGTTTGTGGCTGTCTTTTTAAATGTAAACTGAAATATTTAGATTTCATAACCAAAGTCTTTCCACCTCTAAGATTCTTTTTTCTGCTGTGATTCTCTTCCAAGAATATTCTACCTGGGGATAATACTATTTCTCCTTTGTTGTCTCCAACCTTCCTACCCTTTTATTTAGAGAAAGTTTCTCATTGCTTCTGTGGGAGTTACATAATCACTGAAAAGTGAAGACAGCTAGCTGAGTTTGCTTTGAAATCATGATAAATAGCTCCAATGTCCTTAGTGTGCCTTCCCTGTGGAAGCCAAGGAACTGCATACAGACATAGGAAGGATTAAGTATTTCAGTGCACTGCAGACTGGTACAGGAAGTGGGCTCATATAGGCCACATAAGGTTACTGTAAGACATCTCCCTGCTGAGAGGACTTAGACTTCCCCTCTCTACACAGTCTCAGATTCCTGAGTCCCAGAGGGCCCCAATGCAGCCACAATGATCAGCATTGCCAGGAACAGTGGTAATAACAGGAGCCGAACCCTGACCATATCAGAACTCATTCCAGGTCTTAATGACTGGGGCAACTCACTTGGCTACCAATACTGTTTTCTCTCAACATTGCTAAAATAGCCCAGTCTGTGATTGCTGTTGCCCAGTAGTGACATTTCCACTCCAAGCCAGGGACTGTGAAAAATGTTTTAAAAGTATAAAAAATTCAATGTGATTAATGTTCTTGAAAACTGAAAAATTTTTAAGAATCAGAACATTATTAAAGTGACTGGGGACTGATCACTTTTGGTAGCTCTGTGGCTAAAGAAATACATTTTATCCAAGCCTTCAGCTGACAAGAAGCCAAACTCTGCTTAGATATTGGTGAGACACATGAGAATTATAAAGGACAAGTTGGCAAGTGATAGGAACATTGCCTCTCCTGGCCAAAACCCTCAGCAGAGACACACGGCACCCTCCACAGAGTTGCACAGACAGTGCCTCTCATTTTTTTCTGAAATAGATGTTCCAACAGTATTAGACATACTCTGAAGGCAACTACACATTTCTGAATGATGAGTTTTGAGGTGAAGACTTGTCAGTAGTATGTTAATGTGTATAAAAGAAAAATATTTTATTTGGTAGTGGAATTGCCTGGCTCTTAAAAAGACATTAAAAAACTTAGTTTGACTTCAGATGATGTTTATCACAGGTTTGTGTCTAATTCATTGTCACTAAAGAAAATCAACTCTCCTTCACACTTCTTTTATTGCATGTCAGATGTCACATTAAAATAGCAAGTTCAGGTGCCAGAACAGATTTTAATGTAATGCTCCTCACACTAGATTGATTTCTTCAAACATCTGAGGGCACATATTCCAACTCTCTCTGTTCATCCAAAAAAAAAAAGATAATATTTAGGAAGTAAGTATACTTTAATTCCATTCCATTGATTAAACATCATAAAAGTGATTGAAGGGACCAGTCACTTTTAAACATTCTATCTGGAATCACCCCACTGCAGAGAGGCAGGTCATCCCATGCCCTACAGAGGTCCCCAGTCATGCAGAACACGCCAAATCAGCCCACTGCAGACAGGTCTGTGCATGCCCTGCCAAGGTCCCGAGTCCCGCGGAAGATGCTGAATGACCCCTCTGCAGACAGGCAGGCCTGCCCAGGCCCTACCGAGGTACCTAGTCATGTGGAAGATGCTGAATTAACCCACTGCAGTAAGGCAGGTCTGCACACATCCTACTGAGGTCCCGAGTTGCACAGAACACACCAAATCAGCCTGCTGCAGACAGGCAGGTCTGGGCACACCCTACCGAGGTCCCCAGTCACATGGAAGATGCTGAATCACCCCGGTGTAGACAGGCAGCCACCTGGTTCCACACTACAAAGACACAGAGGACACCAGACCACCAGACCAAGGTACTGAGTCCCACTGCTGCTGGCCCAGAGGTAGGGGCTTCTGAGCTGCCATCCCACTGCTCCTGATCCAGAGGAAGGGGCTTCCCGGTAACCATCCCTCCAGCCCCAGCCCACAGGAAAGGGCTTTTGGGCCACCTTCTGTCCCGCAGCTCCTGGCCCAGAGGAAGGGGCTTCCCAGCCACCATCACTCCCGCTGCTCCCAGCTCACAAGAGGAGGCTTCCGGGC